TAGTATAAACATTTATGTTTGTTTAACTAATACTTATAATTGCAAGACAAAATAAATTCCACAAAGCTTATCAAACACAATGGAAATGGATTTGGTTTTCTAGAAGCTGGAAAGTTCGGAATCAGTTTTGTATGTAGTATAGGCTTAGTTTACCCTGCTCTGTCACCTGAATTTCCAGTACTATCAGTGAACGTGCTAATTTCTCTTTGTCCTCTTATGAATAGCCTTCATTTGGGAGGAGGAAAAGGTAAATTCTTGAGTTATGCTTCTTTTTTAAAAAAAATATATTTTATTGATGTTTTCCAGAGAGGAAGGGAGAGGGATAGAGAATTAGAAACAATCGATGAGAGAGAAACATGAGAGAGAAACATCGACCAGCTGCCTCCTGCACACCTCCCACTGGGGATGTGCCCGCAACCAAGGTACATGCCCTTGACCGGAATCAAACCTGGGGACCCCCCAGTCCACAGGCTGACGCTCTATCCACTGAGCCAAACCGGCCAGGGCTATGCTTCTTTCTTAAAATCATTGTTGAAAACTAGAAAGGATGTTAAGATGCTCTGTAATATTTCAGACAGAACTATACATATACATAAAATATGCCAGATAATTGAGAACTCAGATATTGAGTGTTCTCTCTGCTCCAGCCCCCTTTCTGTGCTCCAGGGATACACAAGTCTACGTCCAGCCTTCATGTATTAACTGTGTATTGGAAAATCTTTTCTTATCTGGAATTATTTGAAAAAACACTTTTAAACCTCTAATTTAGCACGTAGTACCTAAACTTATTCTCCTTTTCTGCACTTAGTAGCAATTGAAAACAAATCATGCCCATCTTCTAGGAAAGGCTCTTGTTATTTTCATAAGATTATTGTTGGATGATTCTTCTTTCTGGGCCAACTAATTCTAATTCATTTAACGTTTCTGCATAGACTTTCTAGCTAGATATGTGACTTATAGAATTCTCCATTCCATGAGAATAAAGAAATATTTAATCATCTATAATAATAAAAGCATAATATGCTAATTAGACCGGGCAACCAAATGACCTTCTCAATGACTTTCTGGACGAATCTGGGGCATGAATTTTGTGCATTGGGCCTCTAGTTTTATATATCAGTACAGAATGGAAGTCGCCTAAAAAGATTGCTTTTCTTTTAAAAGTTGTACTTAGGTAATGTGCTTAATATTCTCAATAATGCTCATATTATTTTTGTGAAGTTAGTAGTGTTTTGTTCTTTCTCTTGGAAGAAATACATGAAAATCTGATATTATAATAATAAATGGACAGAAATAAAAATTATTATTTTGATTTGAACCAGTCTTGGGGTTCAAATGAGCA